CAGCTTCAAATTTAGTAGTCCAGACTAGCCTCAGACTCATGTCAGTTCTCCCACCTCTGCTTCCCCAGTGCTGGGATTACATCTATGAACCATCCACTCCTGGTTTTGAAGTGGTATTTTTTTTTCTTTGTGAGACAGGGTCTTTCTGTAGCCCCAGCTTTCCTGGAACTCATTATGTAGACTAGGCTGGCCTCAACTCACAAAGATCCACCTGCCTTTACCTCCCAAGTGCTGGGATTAAAGGCGTGCACCACCATGCCCAACTGAATTGGTCTTTTTATGGGTAGTGTGATTCTAAGAAGTTGAGTTTTGGGGGGTTTTTTTGGTCTTTTTGAGACAGAATTTCCCTGTAGCCCCAGCTGGCCTGGAACTCACTATGAAGACCAGGCTGGCCTTGAACTCACAGAGATCCACCTGCCTCTCAAGTACTGGGATTAAAGGCGTGCGCCACCATGCCTGGCTGAGTTTTTTTTTTTTAATATTTTATTTATTATTTTTATTTTTTACGTATGCATGTATTGCCTGCATGTATGTAAGTGCACCCATGTCATGCAATACCCGCAGAGGACAGAAGAGGCTGTCGGATCCCCTGGAACTGGAGTTATGGGCAGCAAGTTGGGTTTTTAGAAAAGAAATTTGTACAGGAAGGAGACATAGCTTATTTAACACAACACAAGCCTAGTATAAACAAGACCCCAGGATCAATCCTCAGCACTGAAAAATACTTAAAGAAACAAGAAAATAAATAAATAGTGTGACATACTGTACATATGGTAAGAACCATATTAAATTATTATTTTTTTTTTGTTTGAGTTAGGATCTAAACTTTAGCCCAGGCTGGCCCAGACTTCACTATGTAGTTCAAGCTAACCTCAAACTCATGACAGTCCTACTGCCTCAACCTCTCAGGTGCACACCCAGCTCTAATTCTTTACATATGCTTTCTCAGTTATCTTTCTCATTAATATTATCTTGTTGTTACTAGTCTTTTTACTAATGACATTGAGGCCTAGAAAGATTAAGCATGTCTAGGATCATATAACCAGAATAGAACAGTTGGGAGGTTTTTTTTTGTTTCTTTTTTGAGACAGGGTCTCCAGTTGGGAGTTTTAAATAGATTCTCTTTGTTTTGTGTTTTCTAAAATTTTTATAATTTGTATAAAATTTTTATAATTTCTATGATAAAGAACAAAGTTAATTTTGGGGTTTTTTTTTTGAGACAAGATCTCACAGTGTGCCCTGGCTGGGCTTTTAACTCAGAGAGATCTACCTGCTTCTGCCTCCTGAATGCTGGGATTAAAGGTTATGCCTGGCCAAAGTTAATTTTTAAAAACAAACATAACAAGGTGCATGTCTTTAATCCCAGGACTCAGGAGGCAGAGAAAAGAGATCTCTATAAACAAGGCCAGTCTGATCTACATAGGGAGTTCCAGTCTACCCAGGGCTACACAGTTAGATCCTGTCTCAAAGCAAAACCAAAAAGACCTATAATAAGTCAGAATTATACAATCTGACTGCAAAACAATGGAAATATAGAATTGAAAAAAATAATACCAAGAATTTTTAAAAAATTTAGCTGGGTATTGATGCTCACATGTATGATCACAGCACTTGGGAGACTGTGGTAGGAGGATTGTTCTAGGCCAGTCTGGGCTACATAGCAAGACCCTGTACCAAAAAAAAAGCCAAAAAAAAAAAATCCTAATTTTTTTTTTTGAGACAAGATCTCCCTGTAGCCCCAAGCTGGCCTGGAACTCACTTTGTAAACTAGGCTAGCCTTGAACTTACAGAGATCCACCTGCCTAAAGGCATGCGCTGCCACCCCTGGGCCCCTAATGATTTTGATTCTGCTAAAAATGGGGAACAGTTTTTGTTGTGGTAGTGGTTGTTTTTATTTATTTTTTTCAAAGTTCTTTTTTTTTTTTTTTTTTTTTTTGAGATAGGAGCCCACTGTGTAACCCTTGTTGGCCTAGAACTCTTAACAGCTGAGCCATCTCTCCAGCCCCAGTGTGGTGGTGTTTTTTTTTTTTTCTCTTTGAGACAGGGTCTCTCTGTAGTCCCAGCTGGCTTAGAACTCACTATGTAGACCAGGCTAGCCTTGAACTCACTGAGATCTGCTTGCCTCTGCCTCCTGAGTGCTGGGATTAAAGGCATGCACCACCATGCCCCACTTTTAAAATTATTTTTATGTGTGTTAGTGTTTTACATGCATATATATAAGTGCACCCCTGTCTGAAAAGCCCTTGGAAGCCAGAAGAGGGTGTTGAGCCGGGCATGGTGGCACACACCTTTAATCCCAGCACTCAGGAGGCAGAGGCAGGTGATCTCTGTGAGTTAAAGTCCAGCCTGATCTACATAGCAAGTTCCAGGCTAGCTGGGGCTGCAGGGGGATCCTGTTTCAATAAGATCAAAAAAAAAAAAAAGAGGGTGTTGAATCTCCTGGAGCTGGAATTATAGACAGTTGTTAGCCACCATGTGGGTGCTGGGAATCAGACCTGGGCCCTCTGGAAGTGCAGCCAGTGCTCTTAACTGCTGAGCCATGTGTGTGTTTTTTTTTAAATGATGGGTTATATTAATATCCTTTAGTGAAGTGAAATCTGATTGTTATATGGTAGCTAGAATATGTTAATGCTGAGTACTTTTATCACTGTGTTTAGGAACTTAGCCATTTAAAAAAATTATTACATATTTGTGTGTGTGTGTGTGTGTGTGTGTGTGTGTGTGTATGTATGTGTGAGATCTTCCAGGATCATCTCATCAGACACAGAAGGCAGTTCTCTGTCATGTTCTCCTATAATTCTCCCATTATCTAAGAGAGAATGGGAAGCTAGGTGGGACACTGATGGATTCTTCAAAGTATTTCGTATGTTCTTATGGTAAGAGGATTCTGGCTTTATGAGTGTGTATGTAACAAACATGTCCTGTATCTATGAAATAAAGAGCAGAGGTCTGTAAAGAATTGGATTACAAACAAGATTATGTGAGGGGAAGGGGCCTTAGACATTACTCCTTAAAGACTTGTTCCCTTTTACTGAGCATAGTGGTTCACACTTTAATCCCAGCAGTGGGGAGGTTGAAGCAGGAGAATTACTGCAGGTTCGAGACCAGTTTAGGCAACGTAGAAACCCTGTTTTAAAAAACTAAGGAGGGAGGGAAAGGAGGGAGAGGAGAATGAATTGCTTTTTCAAATACTTATGATTACTAAAAAAAGAGGAATAAAATTCTTTTAATAAAGAAAAGTGAGAACATGTAACTTCTCAGTCTATTATTATTATTATTTTTGGTCTTTTTGAGACAGGGTCTCCCTGTAGCCCCAGCTGTCCTGGAACTCACTATGTAGACCAGGCTGGCCTTGAACTCACAGAGATCTGCCTGCCTCTGCCTCCCGAGTGCTGGGATTAAAGGCATGTGCCACCATGCCCAGCTCTAATTATTTTTATCTTTTAAAAAAAAATTTTATTTATTATTTTTATTTTATGTGAATGTGTGTATTGCTTCCATGTTAAGTAAGTGCACCCGTGTTGTGCAATGCCCACAAAGGTCAAAAGAGACTGTCGGATCCCCTGGAACTGGAGTTATGGACAGTTGTTAGCCGCCATGTGGGTGTCGGGATTCGAACCTGGGTGTTCTGCAAGAACAACATTTGTTCTTAACCAGTGAGCCATCTCTCCAGCCCCCTATTTTTATCTTTTAAAATCCAGTGAAGAGAGGGACTAGAGAGATGGCTCAGTGATTAAGAACACTAGCTGCTCTTGCAGAGGACCTGGGTTCAATTCCCAGCACCCACATTGCGGCTAACCATCTGTAATTCTGTTCCATGGGCTCTGATACCCTCTTCTAGACTCTGAGGGCGTTACATGACACTGGTGCACTTATACATGCAGGCAATACATTCATACACATAAAAATAAAATAAAATTTTTTTTAATCCAGTGAAGGTAACTTAAAACATTTTCATATCATTCTCTCCACTAATCTGAGTAATCCATGCTTTCAGCTCACTATAAAGTATAATATGAGGAAATGCTCTTCCTGATTCTGTTCCATAACAGAGTCAGTCCTTGTCAGTCCTAAGTACCAGGGTCAGCTGTCCAGTTTAACACAGAAAGGCCTACCTCCTTGGACATCTTTTAGCACTAGGCATACCAGAAGAGTTGGTTGTCCTAATCCTAAGAATATCACTATAGGTATGGTGGGGGTAGGGGTGGGAAGTATTTTTAAAAGGAGGAAACTAGCTGGTGTGGTGGCTCACACCTTTAATCCCAGCACTCCAGAGGCAGAGCATAGGCAGGCAGACCTCTGTGAGATTGAGACTTGTCTGGTCTACATACCCAGTTCCAGTCCAGCTGGGGCTACAGGGAGACCCTGTCTCAAAAAACAAAAACAAAAGAAGAAATTGATGAAAATGAGAAGTGCTGAGATATGCTAGAAATATATTTTCTTTTCTTGTTTGTGGGTTTTTAAAATTATTTTTTGTTTTGTTTTGAGACAGGGTCTCCCTGTAGCCCCAGCTGGACCAGAACTGGGCATGTAGACCAGGCTGGCCTTGATCTCACAGAGATTTGCCTTTTTCTGCCTCCTGAGTGCTGAGATTAAAAGATGTGTGCCGTCATGCCCACCTATTTTTTTTCTTTGCTTTTGTTGAGACGGTCTCACCCTGTTGACCAAGATGGCCTTGAACTAACAGAAGTCTACCTGCCTTAGCTTCCCAAGAACTAGGATTATAGGCATGAGCCACTATGCTCAGCTGGGTTTAGGATCTAAGAGTTAATTCCTTTCCTGCTCTAAGTAGCTTTATTTGAGCAAGTGAAGAATTGAAGATTGCAAATGTTGGGCCTCTGCACCTTTGCAGACCACCCTATGGAGCATTTGTCTCTCTCTGGAGTGAGGCTTCCTGTAGCATTCCTGGCAAACCAGTTTGGGGTTTTCCTTTGCCTTGGTGTTGCTCATCAAGCCTATCTTTCTTTCCTTAGTCTTGTTCTTGGTTTCTTATCCTACAGAGAAGTGTGGGAAATGGAACTGGATAGACTCAAGAACCAGGATGGTGAAATAAATCGGAACATTATGGAAGAGACAGAGCGGGCCTGGAAGGCTGAGGTAAAAAGAGCTGATGTCCTCAAGGCTATGGTTTGTGCTTTCAGATGGTATGCTGCTTTAGTAATTAGAAGAGCTTGGAAGCTCATTTTGACTAGGAGTACTTTGTGTTTACAAAATAATCTCTCTCTCTCTTTCTCTCTGCCTGTGCACATGGGTGTGTCTGCACGTGTGCCTGGTATCCTTAGATCTTATCACTAGAGAGCCGTAAAGAGTTGTTGGTATTGAAACTAGAAGAAGCAGAAAAAGAAGCTGAACTTCACCTTACTTACCTCAAGTATGTACCTTCCCATTCTAAGTACTTCCCTCAAGTACACACCTTCCCATTCTAAGTACTTCCCTCAAGTACCTACCTTCCCATTCTAAGTACTTCCCTCAAGTACACACCTTCCCATTCTAAGTACTTACCTCAAGTACCTACCTTCCCGCAAGTACACACCTTCCCATTCTAAGTACTTCCCTCAAGTATGCACCTTCCCATTCTAAGTACTTCCCTCAAGTACCTACCTTCCCATTCTAAGTACTTCCCTCAAGTACACACCTTCCCATTCTAAGTACTTCCCTCAAGTACACACCTTCCCATTCTAAGTACTTACCTCAAGTCCCTACCTTCCCGCAAGTACACACCTTCCCATTCTAAGTACTTACCTCAAGTCCCTACCTTCCCGCAAGTACACACCTTCCCATTCTAAGTACTTACCTCAAGTCCCTACCTTCCCGCAAGTACACACCTTCCCATTCTAAGTACTTACCTCAAGTCCCTACCTTCCCGCAAGTACACACCTTCCCATTCTAAGTACTTACCTCAAGTCCCTACCTTCCCGCAAGTACACACCTTCCCATTCTAAGTACTTACCTCAAGTCCCTACCTTCCCGCAAGTACACACCTTCCCATTCTAAGTACTTACCTCAAGTCCCTACCTTCCCGCAAGTACACACCTTCCCATTCTAAGTACTTACCTCAAGTCCCTACCTTCCCGCAAGTACACACCTTCCCATTCTAAGTACTTACCTCAAGTCCCTACCTTCCCGCAAGTACACACCTTCCCATTCTAAGTACTTACCTCAAGTCCCTACCTTCCCGCAAGTACACACCTTCCCATTCTAAGTACTTACCTCAAGTCCCTACCTTCCCGCAAGTACACACCTTCCCATTCTAAGTACTTACCTCAAGTCCCTACCTTCCCGCAAGTACACACCTTCCCATTCTAAGTACTTACCTCAAGTCCCTACCTTCCCGCAAGTACACACCTTCCCATTCTAAGTACTTACCTCAAGTCCCTACCTTCCCGCAAGTACACACCTTCCCATTCTAAGTACTTACCTCAAGTCCCTACCTTCCCGCAAGTACACACCTTCCCATTCTAAGTACTTACCTCAAGTCCCTACCTTCCCGCAAGTACACACCTTCCCATTCTAAGTACTTACCTCAAGTCCCTACCTTCCCGCAAGTACACACCTTCCCATTCTAAGTACTTACCTCAAGTACCTACCTTCCCGCAAGTACCCCCCTTCCCATTCTAAGTACTTCCCTCAAGTACCTACCTTCCCATTCTAAGTACTTCCCTCATATACACACCTTCCCATTCTAAGTACTTCCCGCAAGTACACACCTTCCCATTCTAAGTACTTCCCTCAAATACACACCTTCCCATTCTAAGTACTTCCCTCAAGTACCTACCTTCCCATTCTAAGTACTTCCCTCAAGTACCTACCTTCCCATTCTAAGTACTTCCCTCAAGTACCTACCTTCCCATTCTAAGTACTTCCCTCAAGTACCTACCTTCCCATTCTAAGTACTTCCCTCAAGTACCTACCTTCCCATTCTAAGTACTTCCCTCAAGTACCTACCTTCCCATTCTAAGTACTTCCCTCAAGTACCTACCTTCCCATTCTAAGTACTTCCCTCAAGTACCTACCTTCCCATTCTAAGTACTTCCCTCAAGTACCTACCTTCCCATTCTAAGTACTTCCCTCAAGTACCTACCTTCCCATTCTAAGTACTTCCCTCAAGTACCTACCTTCCCATTCTAAGTACTTCCCTCAAGTACCTACCTTCCCATTCTAAGTACTTCCCTCAAGTACCTACCTTCCCATTCTAAGTACTTCCCTCAAGTACCTACCTTCCCATTCTAAGTACTTCCCTCAAGTACCTACCTTCCCATTCTAAGTACTTCCCTCAAGTACCTACCTTCCCATTCTAAGTACTTCCCTCAAGTACCTACCTTCCCATTCTAAGTACTTCCCTCAAGTACCTACCTTCCCATTCTAAGTACTTCCCTCAAGTACCTACCTTCCCATTCTAAGTACTTCCCTCAAGTACCTACCTTCCCATTCTAAGTACTTCCCTCAAGTACCTACCTTCCCATTCTAAGTACTTCCCTCAAGTACCTACCTTCCCATTCTAAGTACTTCCCTCAAGTACCTACCTTCCCATTCTAAGTACTTCCCTCAAGTACCTACCTTCCCATTCTAAGTACTTCCCTCAAGTACCTACCTTCCCATTCTAAGTACTTCCCTCAAGTACCTACCTTCCCATTCTAAGTACTTCCCTCAAGTACCTACCTTCCCATTCTAAGTACTTCCCTCAAGTACCTACCTTCCCATTCTAAGTACTTCCCTCAAGTACCTACCTTCCCATTCTAAGTACTTCCCTCAAGTACCTACCTTCCCATTCTAAGTACTTCCCTCAAGTACCTACCTTCCCATTCTAAGTACTTCCCTCAAGTACCTACCTTCCCATTCTAAGTACTTCCCTCAAGTACCTACCTTCCCATTCTAAGTACTTCCCTCAAGTACCTACCTTCCCATTCTAAGTACTTCCCTCAAGTACCTACCTTCCCATTCTAAGTACTTCCCTCAAGTACCTACCTTCCCATTCTAAGTACTTCCCTCAAGTACCTACCTTCCCATTCTAAGTACTTCCCTCAAGTACCTACCTTCCCATTCTAAGTACTTCCCTCAAGTACCTACCTTCCCATTCTAAGTACTTCCCTCAAGTACCTACCTTCCCATTCTAAGTACTTCCCTCAAGTACCTACCTTCCCATTCTAAGTACTTCCCTCAAGTACCTACCTTCCCATTCTAAGTACTTCCCTCAAGTACCTACCTTCCCATTCTAAGTACTTCCCTCAAGTACCTACCTTCCCATTCTAAGTACTTCCCTCAAGTACCTACCTTCCCATTCTAAGTACTTCCCTCAAGTACCTACCTTCCCATTCTAAGTACTTCCCTCAAGTACCTACCTTCCCATTCTAAGTACTTCCCTCAAGTACCTACCTTCCCATTCTAAGTACTTCCCTCAAGTACCTACCTTCCCATTCTAAGTACTTCCCTCAAGTACCTACCTTCCCATTCTAAGTACTTCCCTCAAGTACCTACCTTCCCATTCTAAGTACTTCCCTCAAGTACCTACCTTCCCATTCTAAGTACTTCCCTCAAGTACCTACCTTCCCATTCTAAGTACTTCCCTCAAGTACCTACCTTCCCATTCTAAGTACTTCCCTCAAGTACCTACCTTCCCATTCTAAGTACTTCCCTCAAGTATACACCTTCCCATTCTAAGTACTTCCCTCAAGTACCTACCTTCCCATTCTAAGGCCCTAGGCTCGCAGGCTCGGGCTTATTCTCTCATGGGAATTTGAGAACCATCTCTGAGTGTGCAGTAAAAATTACTCAGTGATTTCTTTACATTCTACTCTTCCTCTTCCTTCTTTTTATAGCTTTGTGCTTTTTAATTATCTTATTTCTATTTGAATAGATAATGTATAGGCAAACTGTCACAGTATAACAAGGGTCTTTGGAGGTTTCTTCCATGGCCATTTCTCTTTCTGTCTTAGGATTTGAAGGACCCCTATGGTATTTTCAGGCAGACAGGAACTCACTCTCTGTGGTTGATCTTCTTTTTCAAATATTTGATTTAAAAGATGATGACATGAACCAGGCATTATGGTGCTTGCCTGTAATCTTAGCACTTGGCAGTCTGAGGCAGGAGGATGGCAAGTTCAAGGCCAGCTTGGGCTACATAGGAGACCTTATCTGAAACAAATAGAAAGTTGATGTCATTTAAGTGAAGCAAATGCCTTAGACTCTTGGGGGTCTCCAGCACTTGCTCCTACCTCATCTTTCAAGGCCCATTACCCAGCAACTTTTTAAAAATTTAATATGTATGAGTTTTATACCTGCATGTATCTCAGTGCACCTGTGTTGTGCAATGCCCAAAGAGGCCAAAACAGGGCATCGGATCTCCTGAACTGGAGTTACTGGTGGTTGTTAGCTGCCATGTGAGTGCTGGGAATCGAATCTGGATCTTCTTTACCACTGAGCCATCTCTCCAACACCCCATGCCCCCATCCCCAGCAGCTATTTTGTGTCTTAGAGTGTAACTGGAGTTACAGGGCAAAAGCCCAGGCTTGGGCAGTCCTAGCAGGTTAGGCTATACGTAGCCTAGTATACCAGTTAAAGAGATGAATAATGGGGAAAGGAGGAGGGGGGCATGGTGGCACATAGTTTTAATCCCAATACTTGGGAGGCAGAGGCAGGCAGCTCTCTGTGAGTTTGAGGCTAGCCTGGTCTATATAACAAGTTCCAGGGTAGCTAAGGCTACAAAAAAAAAAAAAAAAAAAAAAAAAAGCCGGGCACGGTGGCACACGCTTGTAGTCCTAGCACTCGGGAGACAGAGGCAGGCAGATCTCTGTGAGTTCAAGGCCAGCCTAGTACATAGTTCCAGGACAACAAAAAACCCAGGGAAACAAAACACCAAAAAAAAAAAAAAAAAAAAAAGGAAAAGAAAAGAAAGACAAATATGAGTAATATACCAAAAGCAGAAGGAGGTTTGATACGATGACACTGGTAAAAGCAGATGAGGGATCCAGTGATCCAGAGACTGTGGGGTACCGATGTGAGCTTTAGGGTTATTTATTTAGGGTTTTTTGTTTGTTTTTTTTTTTTCGGTTTTTTTTTTTTTTTTGAGACAGTCTCCCTGTAGCCCTAGCTGTCCTGGAACTCACTACGTAGACCACGCTGGCCTTGAACTCACAGAGATCCGCCTGCCTCTGCCTCCTGAGTGCTGGGATTAAAGGTGTGCGCCACCACGCCTGGCCCTATTTAGTTATTTTTTAAGATTTATTTTATTTTTATTTATATGCATTTGTGTCTGTATGCGTGGGTGTATGTGCAACATGCGTGCAAGTACCTATAGAGGCTGGAAGAGGATCTTATAGGATGTTATGAACCAGTAGATGTGGGTGGGAACCTAACTCTGTCTTTTCACCCTATCTTTTTTCACCCCGTCTTTTTTCAGTCTTTTTTTTTTTTTTAAATATTTTTATTTTATGTGTATGAGTGTATTGCCTGCATGTATGGGAGTCCACCCTGTCGTGCAATGCTGCAGTGGTCAGAAGAGAGCTTCAAATTCCCCTGGAACTGGAGTTAAGGACGGTTCGTAGGCGCCATGTGGGTGCTGGGAATTGAACCGGGGTCCTCTGCAAGAGCAGTCAGTGCTCTTAACTGCTGAGCCATCTCTCCAGCCCCATTTTTTGGTCTTATTATTATTTTTTTGGTCTTTTTTAGATAGGGTCTCCCTGTAGCCCCAGCTGTCTTGGAACTCACTATGTAGACCAGGTTGGACTTGAACTCACAGAGATCCGCCTGCTTCTGCCTCCTGAGTGCTGGAATTAAAGGCGTGCGCCACCATGCCGGGCAGTCCACCTTTTTTAAGGAAGGATTTTGTGTATTCTTCCTGATCTTCCCTCTATCCAAAGTATTGCGTTTACAGGAGTGCACTACCGTGGGCAGCTGAGCTGTAGGTTTAAATAGAGGAGGAACTGGAGCGAGGGGTAAGAGGTGTAAATAATTAACCAATCCTGCTCAAGATCTGGTCTCATTGATCTTTGTCTCAGTTTTGGTTCTGCAAGGTAATCTGAAGATGTCCTGTCAGAGGAGGTCAGTCTGGTTCCCACAACTGAGACCATTTCTGTTCCAAGGTGCAGCTTTACCTCATGAATAATTGCCCTTATCTGGAGGGTATCTTCCCTTAGAGATTTTGTTCTTCCTAGAATCTGGGGTGACTACAGTTTTAGGACAATGGCTTTATCTTTGTGCCAACACCCTTAAAAGGGGAGGAGATGGCTTATGTAAATACTCATAGGTCCCAAGATGTAACATGTTTGTACAGAGTCAAGCAGGAGTCTGACTCAAAGTGAAAGAGACCCAAAATGGAGGCAGAAGTGCTAGGCTTTCATCCTACTTTTAGCTACTTTTAGGGACCAAGTAAGGAGTCAATGCAGTAATTTTCAGTTAAAACAATTTCTAAATATGTGTGGTAAGTGAATTAGGAATTGGTTTTTAAAAATTGTGTGAATTCTGCTGAGCATGGTGGCACACGCCTTTAATCTCACCAAATTCAAGGCCAGCCTGGTCTACATAGTGAGTTTCAGGCCAGCTTGGGCTATAGGAAAACCCTTTCTCAAAAAGAACAAAAAAAAAAAAAATTGCGAATTCTTCTTGATTTCCTACAAGGTCAACTCCTCCAACATTGGAGACAGTTCGTTCCAAACAGGAGTGGGAGACAAGACTGAATGGAGTTCGGATAATGAAAAAGAATGTCCGGGTAAGTATAGTAGATGGTGATGATTCATTCAACCTCAGTTTGACAGTAGAATGGTAGGTAACCTTTTGTGTTACTGCAGAGCCTGCCCTGCTACTCCCGTGTTTTCCTGAGAGCAGGCAGTATACTTTCTCAGTGCTTCACTCAGCCTGGCAGTAAAGGAAAATCCTTTCTTTTCCTTTTGTTCTAGGACCAGTTTAATAGTCACATCCAGTTAGTGAGGAATGGAGCCAAGCTGAGCAGTCTTCCTCAAATCCCCACCCCCACTTTGCCTCCACCCCCCTCAGAGGTAAGAGTGCTGGCTCTGGGGAGTCTACCTTTCTATATTGGAGGCAGAGCCAGAGTCCTCATTTTATGAAGACATTGGGGCCATCCCTGTTTAGTGCAGGAGTGTGTGTAAGAGTTGCTCACTGATTTCTGCTGTTTTTATTTATTTATTTATTTATTTATTTATTTGTTTGTTTGTTTATTTATTTGTTTATTTATTTTATGTCTTTTTGAGACAGGGTCTTCCTGTAGCCCCAGCTGTCCTGGAACTATGTAGACCAGGCTGGCCTTGAACTCACAGAGATCCGCCTGCCTCTGCCTCCTGAGTGCTGGGTCTGCTCTCTTTTTTTCAAAAAATTCTTTTTTGATATTGTCTTTGTATATTCTTATAATAATGTATGTATAAGTGTATGTTTGTGTATGTGTGCATATGTGCATCCAAGATATGTGTGTGTGTGTGTGTGTGTGTGTGTGTGTGTGTGTGTGTTTATGTAGGCCAGAGGTAGACTTCAGGTCACTCTCTCTATTCCTTTGTGGGATAGTCTCTCTCTGAGCCTTCTGAGCCTGTAATTTACCAGTTGACTGGCCTAGCTGGCCAGTGAGTTCCAGGGATCTGCCTGTCTCTGTTTCCACAGTGCTGGGGTTACAGATACATGTCTCCAATACAGGATTTTCTATGGGTGCTAGAGATATGAACTCAGGTCCTCATGCTTGCAAGGCAGACACTTTACCAATTGAACCATCTTTTCAGCACTTACTCCAGTTTCCTAATGCTTTTTCCCCATCTCTCTTGTCCTCCACCTCTTCTTCTCTGCAGGCAGATTTCATGCTTCAAGTATTTCAGCCCAGTCCCTCTCTGGCCCCTCGGATGCCCTTCTCTATTGGGCAGGTCACAATGCCCATGGTTATGCCCAGTGCTGATCCCCGCTCTTTGTCTTTTCCAATTTTGAACCCTGCCCTTTCCCAGTCCAACCAGCCTTCCCCACCTCTTCCTGGTTCACATGGGAGAAATAGCCCTGGTTTGGGTTCCCTGGTCAGCCCCCATGGTCCACACATGCCCCCTGCCACCTCCATCCCGCCTCCCCCAGGCTTGGGTGGCATTAAGGCTTCTACTGAGACTCCCCGGCCTCAACCAGTAGACAAATTGGAGAAGATCCTGGAGAAGCTGCTGACTCGGTTCCCACAATGCAATAAGTAAGTCTTTAAGGATTAGTCAAGGTATCTCATAGAAATGCTTATGGTTTGAAATAGGGAGGTTGCATAGTTGTTCGCCCATAAGGATTGACTTCTTTTCCTCAACATTGTTCTTTTCAGGGCCCAGATGACCAACATTCTTCAGCAAATCAAGACAGCACGTACCACCATGGCAGGCCTGACCATGGAAGAACTAATCCAGCTGGTAGCTGCACGGCTGGCAGAGCATGAACGGGTGGCAGCGAGTACTCAGGTAAGATGAGCTACCCAGGAGAGGTTCAAGAAGAGGCCAGCTTCAGAAAAACTGAAAGTGAGAAGCATCAGCCAGGGGTATCTAGTCTGCTTTTTTCCTTGCTAGGCAGAAATAAGTGATTTCTTTTTGTGTTCTTTTTTGAAAGTTTTAAAATTTGTGTGTGTGTGTGTGTGTGTGTGTGTGTGTGTGTGTGGTGTGTTTCTGTGGGCATGCATGCCAGAGTGCATGTGTAGAGGACACCTTTCAGGAGTCCATCTTCTCGTACCCTGCAAGTTCTGGGAATTGAACTCAGGTCGTCAGGGTTGTGTGGCAAGTGCCTTTACCTGCTGCTGAGCCATTTTATTTTGCTGGTCCTGATTTCTTTTTTGCTTCATTCTCTGTTGCTCAAACTCTCTTCCCTCTCTCTGAAATTGTTTCTACCCACAGCCACTTGGTCGGATCCGGGCACTGTACCCTGCTCCTCTGGCCCAAATCAGTAGCCCAATGTTCTTGCCCTCTGCCCAAGTTTCATATCCTGGAAGGTCTTCACATGTAAGACTATTTTCTTTTAACATTGGGATGTGGAGCTCAGAGTGAGGAGAGAGTGGGCTTACAGCTAAAAATGCTGGAGGAAACCATCATCTCCACATCAGGGGTATTTGTAGCTCTACTGGGAACATGCTGCAAGCACTTTAAGCAAGAATGTAGAAATAGACTTATATTTCTTTTCATAAAGAATAGTTCTGCTACATGGGAATAATACCTGGAATCATGGGCATGAAAGGCAAGGTGACTCAGATAGTGGTTACCTTGTGACCTGGTCTTCTCTATTCTACAGGCTCCAGCCACCTGTAAGCTGTGTCTGATGTGCCAGAAACTTGTTCAGCCCAATGAGCTGCATCCAATGGCATGTACCCATGTGTTGCACAAGGAGGTGGGTATTACATACTTCCTTGCTCTCTACTGCTTTCTGACAGCTGAGATTTTTTTTCTTGAATATTTTACTAGGTTGAGTCCTATCAATAATATTTAGTCATAAAGTTTTCAGACATGTGTAGCTTCAACATCAGCAGAGTTCAGAATCTGCAGCTGTGATCTCCCAGCTTTTTACCCCATTCTCTGTAGGAGACTAATAAGCACTTTATACTTGAGCACTGATAATTCTCTTTCTTGGAGATTCAGCTATTATTTCAAATATAGCATTTTCAGAATACTTTGCTTAGCTGGGAGGAGTGATACGGAATCTGAATATGAGATTAGCAACAGAACAGCTTGGAGGACTGTCTGTGAGAGATTCTCTTCACTGACTGACTCACAGCTATTCCTGTTAACTTGAATTCCATTAGCAACAGAGATGATTTCTTCTTAACCATTTTGTTGTGTTTATTGCGTTTTTCCAAGAGGTAGGAATTGAATTAATATCCAAATTCATTCTTTCTTTTCTTTTCTTTGAGATTGGCTCTCATGTATCTCAGGCTGGTCTTAAACTCCCTATGTAGCCAAGGATGACCTTGATTTTATTTATTATTTATTTTTTTGGTAAACCTTGAACTTCTGCTCCTCTTGTCTCCATCTCATATATGCTGGGGTTACAAATGTGCATCACTACACCTGGTTTATGTGGTATTAGGGATCAAACCCAGCTTCTTGCATTCTAGACAAGCGCTCTTCTAACTGAGCTACATCTTCAACCCAGCATCTAAATTCTTCATAAGAAAAAGCCCTGAAGGTACATACACATACAATGGATAAATGTTTTTAAAAATTGATGGAGAAAACACACCTACTGTCAACCGCTGGCCGCAATGCACATGCACCCATACTAAGAAGTACATATAACACATATAACCCACACACAGAGAGCCACTGAAATAGCCCTGCTAGTCTCTCCTGCCCCCACTAAGAAGTTAGATCTCGGGATCCTTAATGGCTCTTCTAACTTTACTTTGTTTTCTCAGTTAAGTCTGAGGTATATGTGTGTCTCTTTTTCTTTCCAGTGTATCAAATTCTGGGCCCAGACCAACACAAATGATACTTGTCCCTTTTGTCCAACTCTCAAATGATGGACCTGAGTGGGGAGGAAGAGGAGGCGAAACCGATGTGAACAGGAAGCGCGGGTTCAAGATTTCTAAAACTCTATATTTATACAGTGACATATACTCATGCCATGTACATTTTTATTATATAGGTAATGTGTGTATAGAAAGTCTGTATTCAAATGTTCGTAATGAAAGTCTGTATATAATGCAGAAACCCTCTGTTCCCCCTCATCTTGTAGTTCTTTGGGGATGCAGATTATAGGGAATATGTTGTTTAATTTGGCCTTGAAATCATGTTATTCCTGCGTAGGGCTGTTTTCAAACCCATCTAGGAAGCTGCTGTTGCTCTAAGGCTGTCCTGCTTTAGTTTGGCTCAGCCTCTAGTCCATTTTTGTAAGGCTTATGTATGCAGATTTGAAGCCTGGTGCTCACCTGCTGTCCAACCAGATGCCTTGTTTTCCAGGGGCCTCCAGAAGCCTCAGTGTTGTTCTAGCCACTCCACTCCAATGGATAAATGAGACTGATTAAGGGGAAAAAATGTAACTCTGATAGTTTTTCATTGAGTATTTTGCTGTGTTAATGCTTATTATTTATATATAGATATCAGGTTTACAGGATATTCTGTTTTAAGTCAGCAAAATCCACAGTCCAAGAATAACATAACCAGGTCCCATTTCCCTCACCAACTTCTGTCTACTCTACTTCCTGGATAGAAAAGCACAATTCACAGGTTTTCCTGAGCCACGCCATCCCTGCCACTAGCTTGGCTTCTGCTCAAGTGCTGACAGGCCAGCCTTGCAGAGTACTGAGCCTTCCCATCCCTCTGGTCTCCTAGTGTAGCTACTCCCTCCGCATAGAAGGTTAAGGCAGTTAGTCACCACCAAGTCATATGGTGACCTAGGATGGGCTCTAGACAGGCACTGGGGTGAGGTATCTGTGCAAAATTACTTGCAGAATGATCTTGGGATGCTGGGTTTCCATTTGTGAAATAAGATCACTATGTGGAACACATTTCCTGTCTGAACAAGGTGGAGATGAAAGTGAGATGAAGGGAGGTGGGATTTCACAGTTATAAGTCATGGTTTGTAGGCAGCCATCTTGAACTAAATCGTTTTCCCAACTCTGCTTATTAAGCACTTCTGACTTTTTAGGTTTTATGCCTAGGACAACTGTGACTCTTTGAGAACTTTGTTTTTTCCAATCCTTTACACCTACAGAAAATGGCTTTAGCTACCTTCTTTTTTGGAATGAAACAAGTGTTATTCAAGAAAAAAATGGGATCCAGGGGAAGGGCATCATTATGTTACTAATAATTGACTTTTTCCTATTCTGGGACTTGGAAATGCTTATTGATTCTAGCAATTTGTATTAGGATAGCAAAGACTTTTCCTTTCAGAACTAAATTCTCTCTGTTCTTTCTTCCTTGCCTATGAACTCTTGGATGAATTCTTTCCTCTTGCTTTACTTGTCCAGGGTGACTGACAAGCATATTTAGGGAACTGGACTTCCTGGGATTACCTTGGTATCTTGTGAGGGGAATGGAATGGTCTGAGTACTCAACTCTCTTAGAAGTCAAGTGACCTACTTTCTTTGGTTAATGAAGTCTTCCTGTCTCCAGATTGGTACTGTCTGGAACAGGAAAGATGACAAAATGGAAGACCAGTTCCTTTGTCCTTTTCATCTGGGGCATTCATTTTCTGTCTTATAATCTTAAGATTTTTCTCTCCCTTCAACCATGCAGCAACCTTGAACCAGCTGTGTAGTATCTCCCAGTATCCCCTGAAACTTTTAAGTTGAAAGTGAGTATAAAAGAATATTGTGTCTAGCCAGGCATGGTGGCACAAGCCATAACAAAGGCTGGGCTGCGTGACTCTATCTAAAGAATTACACACACACACACACACACACACACACACACACACACACACAGAGTTTCTATCCAGGAATAGTGACATACACCCTTAATACCAGCATTCAGGATGCAGAGGCAGGAGGATTACTATAAGTTCGAGAACAGCATGGTCTATATAGTGAGACCCTGTCTCAAAAAAATTTTTTTTTTCTTTTCCAAAACTCTTTGAAGTCAGAAAGGGATAGAGAGAAAAAAACAAAACAGGGACAGGTAGGGGATTGAACTGTTTCCCAATGCAAGCCCTGGAAAGCCAACTCAGGAGGAAGGTAACATTCTGGGGAGTGGTTCCCTGGAGCTAGGGCCCCATCATTGTGGCTATTTCTTGTTCAGGAGCAGTCAGAAACACATACTCAAATTCTGCCATCCGTCTTCGCCATCATCTCTGACAGCTGGGCCTCAGTGGTACAAACCATGCAGACCAGTGGCAAAGGCCCCAAATGCAGTGTGGAGAAAGGACAATCATTTTTCAGGAGTAGAATTAAAAATAGAACTGTATAGTACACATTTTACAAGCAAGAGGCTGTTGTCAGGAATTTTTCTTTTCTTTTTTTTTTTTTTTTTTACATTTCAGAGTTTTCAGGATACAAAGGAATTAACCATCAAAAGAAAAATAAATGCAAATTTCCCCTAAAAAAAAAAAGAACACCAGTTACTAGTTTTAATAATGACTGAGTGGACTTTTTTTGTCCTGGAAAGAGCTAGGAAAAGCCAGTTTTCCCAACATGGGTAAACATCATAAAGCAGAACGTGGCATTTTCATTTCATGGTGGTGATTCTCTGGAAGTTTATTTACACTATAGGTTCTGAGCTGGAGATGGACAGTCTCTTCCTGGCAGTCTTTGTAGTCAGGGTGTATTCCCATTCTGCCAGAGCAGCACCAGTGCAGGGGGAATGAAGAGGACCCAGATGAAGAACCATGACTCAGTATTCTTATTTTATTGGTTTATGGCTTTTGGGCAGCTGGCTCAAGCCAGCAACTCCAGAGGCCCTCCCTGTGTCGCCCTCTCCCCCATCAGCTAACTCCACACGTGGCAGGTCCCCATCTGAAAGTGTAGAGCATGTAAGGATAGGAAGCAGCGGGTATCCCAGGAAAGCTTAGCTCTTCCCACTAACACTGGTTTCATAATCTGTTGTTTGAACTGACAGGGAGGAAATGCATGTGGCCCCCACTACCTAGCCCAAGAACCAGCCTGGGTACCCATGTACTGTTGGGAGTGGCAGCAAAGAGCATGACAGGAGTAGGCTCTAGCAGGAAAGGGTTTTAAAGGAGATAAGGAAGCCCTGAGGCTGCCGTCCTTTCTCCAGGCAGCCTTGATACTGAAGGCAATGACTCAGAGCCAGAAAGCCCTCTATTTCTTACATTCGAGGTTTAATACTAGCCAATGTGTAATGGTGCCTTAGCCAAATAAATGAAGGGGCCATTGGGGAGGGCGGGAAAGCAATGAACCCACTCAGTACTACACAAAAGGTCTTATCACGTTGTACCACTGGGCAAGAGGAAATCCAGGCAGAGGCAAAGGCATCAATCCTACCCAGCTGAGTAAATCTTCAGGGTTTGCCTTCAAAATCAGATAGGATAAGATAGGAGAGCTGTCCTGTCTGTTCTTTTAGCACCTCAGTTGCAAAGCTCCAGAGAAGTAGGGCTTGAGGGAAGGCATGAGCCTATGCTGGGAAAACTGTTCCCAGCCCTGCTATGTTCTCACTCCTGTCCCACAGGGCACCTGGGGCCTTAGGGTTGGGACAGTTCAGTGCACCTATTATATAAAAGAAGCAGATAGAGACAGGTGGGATTAATAAGGTAGGAGTTCATCTGCTAAGTGGAACTTCTTCATGGGCACATTTCCTTTAAGAGAGCTCTAGGAAGAGCTCTTTGGCTATAAGCCCTTCTTCCCATCTGACTTCAGGTCAGACTACAACCACAGACACACTGGGAAATGACACCTGTCTTAGTTGAGATGGGCTCTGTCTTGGAGATGAGGTCTACACCTGGAACTGGAAAGTAGTTACGTTTTTGCCTTTCCTAGCTTTGATACAACTATTCTTTGACTGCCCCAGGAATACAAATATTTCATCTCGTTTTTTGTTTAATTCAAGAAGCAGTCTTTGCACCAGTGTAGGCTTGTTTCTGCAGTACCTATCACTAAAGCAAACTGCAAACTGCATTATCTTCTTCTGCTGACTTTAGCCAGCAGGGAAATGAGATTGGCCCTTTCTCTGCCAGGGTACCACAGAGACACATGCTGGGTAGCCTGGGTGTGATGCCAGTACTTCTGGAAGGAAGGAAAGAATACTTTGGGTTGGAGAATCTAAAGGGATGCTGGGCAGAAAGTCAGGGCTGAAGCTTAAAGCAGCAGAATTTCCAACTCAGGTTTGAGGTGACCAAGGGTATTCCTGCCACCAGAACGCTGCTTTCCTCCCTCCTGTTTCCTATAAGTGCAAGCCCTGTAACCCACCTTGCACACTTTTCCTTCTTTTCTCTCAAGGCAGAAGTATTTGGCGGGTGGGTGAGGGTCCTGAGGTGCTCTGGCCACAGGTGCCATCTGTGTCTCCGACTTGTATGACCAACGTGAACCACCCAGATGTGGTTCAGGGGAATCTGTTGTCTGCCCATGGGCCTCCTTACTTCAGCAGCGAGATGTCATCAGCAAAGTCGTCGTGCTGATGGCGCAGGCAGCGGAGGCAGCGCCACTGACAAACCATGAGGCAGAGTGGCAGCATGAACAGGGCGCAGATGGCAGCCATGACATAGGCTATGGTCATAAGGGTTGACTCATCTGTCTGTGGAATGTTGTAGCCACAGTCTTCCATGTCTGGTGTAACAAAAGGACCTTCCACTGCTGCCGTCCTGAACTCGTCGTGCACTGGAGAGAGGGCAGGCATGAATTGGTAGCTCTTATCGTCACAGAAAAGTTTTGGTTATATAATGGAAATAGCTTCCTGACGGTGACCCCTTGGAATCCACCCCTGTGCAACTATGCAGTACCTCTCTTAGCAAGAGTGGACAGTAGGCAGGGAAACCAGTGCTGGTGTGTTGGGGGTGGGGTGGCCTGTCTCCCCTTCCAGGACCCTGGCAGCAGTGACCCTTCCCCATTTTTCCCCATTTTCTTATTCAGTAGGAATGATACCAAGAACTCAACAGTTCTGAGTTGACCAAAAACCTAGCCCCTTATACATCTAGCAAACTTACCTGTCACCATGGAAATCTGTCCACAAAACCCTGCTGCCTTTTTGCAGTAGCATTCAGCCTCACTGTGGGGCAGCCAGCAGGGTCACTAAAAGCTCAGCCTGCTAGGCTCAGCCACTGCCCCTGCAGCTAAGGCTTCTAAGTGTCTGGGCAACTCTCTGGCTTCTGTGCGTTTCTAATAGTGCTTTCCCCATCCAAGCAAGGGTTGTCAGGACAAGCACTGCTCCTAGATTTTGCACACTGTTGATTATCCACAGGCAACTATTACTACCTCCCCAGTGGACAGAGTCCCAGGTATCCTAGCTGCTGACAGCAAGAATATGAACAGACAGACCCCCACACCCTCCTCACTGCTGCTCTCACCATGGCAAGCGCTGACAGCAAAGCCAATTCTTTTTTGGACCCGATCAAAGACAACGTAGAAGCCTTCCATGATAACAGCTCCCATAACAGTGCCCGTGGATGACTGTGAGATGGCAAATTTGTAACAGTCGTCTTGGGACGTGGCCACATCTTCCACCGGCCGCAGGTATTGCTAGGGGTAAGCAATCACGGTGAGAACATGAGTCTTATTCCACCATTCCCCTATCTCTGCCCTCTAGCACTCTGCACTTAGGTAGCCGTCTGTCCACCTTGCTTCCTGAGAAGCTGGACTTTCCAAGACCCTTTTGCATTTGTCTTCCAAGTTCCGGGAAGCCATACCTATTTACTATCCTAACACATACTTTGTTTTCTTCTGGGTATCCTGCTGCCTCAGCTTGGGCACATACCTGAGGAAGGATGGTGATGCGGAATGACTGATTGGTGACCTCACCCATGAGGTAGAGTGAGATGACTGGGAAAATGTTCCAGGGGGTAGTCCCTGCTTGCCAGCACACCAGCTGCTCCCCTAGCCAAAAGCCGTCCGGGAACTTCTCTGTCTGTTGACAAAGGAAAAGTGAGAAATCAGCTTCTCTCACCATCTCTCGCTCATTTTCATAATATTGACAGGGCCTCTGCTTTTCCAGGGAGGTTTCCAAAGTAGAGAAGGTAAACTACACCCGAAGGATTAGAAGAAGAAAGTGGGACACTAGAGTCAGAAATTTGTGACAGGGTAGCTGGACATGGTGGCGTACACTCCTAGAATCCCAACACTTCGTAGAGGCTGATAACCAGAGATCAAATTCAAAGCCAGCCTATCAACATCCTGTCTCAAAAAAAAAAAAAATTGTACCAGGAAGATTGTCTGCTGAGTCTACAGACTAATAAAGAAAGGCTTTTAAGAGTTCTAACTGGAAAGATTTAAGTACAGACTTCTCAGGTGCTTTCTGAGGAGTGTGACTGTCACTTCTGATTCTGTTTCATCAGTCCACTGACCGAGGAGGCTGCCTTGATGGACTTGACTGCAGCTTCAAACACTTTCTTGGGCAAACGAAGGTTGGTGGTGCCACTGTCCACAATGCTCTTGTCATAGTTGTACTAGGAAGGAGAAAAAAAGGGTGAGAAGGCTTTTTTTTTTTTTTTTTTTGGTCTTTTTGAGATAGGGTCTCCCTGTAGCCCCGGCTGTCCTGGAACTCACTGTGTAGACCAGGCTGGCCTTGAACTCACAGAGATCAGCCTGCCTCTGCCTCCCAAGTGCTGGGATTAAAGGCGTGTGCCACCACACCTGGCCTGAGAAGGCTTTTTAAATGCCAGACTCTGAGCAGAGTTGGGCTGGTGAAGCTGACAGAGGGGCCCTGCTTTGGTATCTCAGCTTTGCCATTTTGTATGCATACATCGTTGGGCAAGTTACTTAACCTCTATGCCTCAGTTTCCTCATCTCTAAAATGATGATAATGGTACGGACCTCAAAGGTTATAAGTATTAAATTAACACATTGAAAGCACTTTAGAATGGTGCCTGGCAGATAGTCGGCACTCAGTAAATGCTAACCTCTATTGTCTTGGGCACCAGTCCATATCTAAAACAAAAATATAGTGCTTTTAACTTTTTACAGTACTTTTTATAATTATTCTAATTTAAAATACATAATGTTGAACGGGGCATGATGGCACATGCCTTTAATCCCAGCACTCAGGAGGCAGAGGCAGGCAGATTTCTGTGAGTCCAAGGCCAACCTGGTCTACGTAATGAGTTCCAGGCCAGCTGGGGCTACAGGGACACCCTGTCTCAAAAAGACCAAAAAAAAAAAAAAAAATTGTTGAGAAGGTGGGTGTTCAGTTGGCAGAGTACTTACTAGCATGCATTAAGCCCCTGGGTTTGTTCCCAATACTACATAAAACTGGGTAATCCCAGCACCTGGAAGTCAGAGGCAGAAGAATCAGGAATGCAAGTTCATCCTCAGCTACTTAGCAAATTTGAGACCAGCTACATAAGACCCTATCTAAAACCAAATGCCAAATGGGGGTTAGAAGGGGCAATGAATGGTTCAGCAGGTAAGAGCACCTGCCACCAAGCTTGGTGACTTGAGTTTGATTCTGGGGACTCACATGGTGAAAGGATGAACTGATTCCTGGAAATTGTCCTCTGACCCTCACATGCAAGTCTTGGTGCATGCGTGTCTGTGTGTGTGTGTGTGTGTGTGTGCACATATGCATACACACTGCATGTATGCATACACACTGCACATGCACAAAAAAAATAAGACTCTAGGGAAGGAGATCCAAATGTTGGCATTTGTTGGGTACTGCCAACTATAGGGATTAACATATGTTGTCTTTGACCTCCACAATTTCTGGACAAGCTGTTTTTTAACCTGTTTTGCAGATGAGGAAACACACATAATAGTAATAAGCCTAAGGGTACTTAGGGAGTAGTAGCAGAGCTAGACTCAGATCCAGGTTCTCTGACTCCATCTTACCATGCTGCCTCACAAATGACTTGCCCAAGGCCATGAAGTAAGGCAGTGACTAGAGTTCAGACAAGAACTACTTCCATGTTGTTTCCTCTCTATACTATATGCTCCATGGTCCATGTTAAAATGGTCTGTCAGGTCCTACCCTTCACCTAGGGACTGCTGTGTGACCACTAAGCTTCTGATTTACTGGCTCAGTCCTAACCTCTACCACAGGTCCTCTGCCTCATCCTCCCAACCTCATGAGAAATCCTCTCTCACCCTGAGGGACCAACCCCCTTTCTCCAATTTGACTCTCTTTCTTTTTATTACCTCCTTGCAGTCCATTTTCAGATCTTGTCCATTGATTTCCACACGTACAATGATCACCTCATAATACCACTCCCGCCGGATAGGTGTGTACCAGAGACTGCCTGTGTACAGCGAGTGGTCGATACCACCAATGATCTAAGAGAAAAAGAGGCAGGCACCTATGTTCTGGCACAGAAGGAGAGCAGGCAAAACCAAGTCATAAATAAGATCAACCATTTCTAGGAGTGGCAAGACCTTTCCATGCCACCTTTCCTTTTCCTGTTTCTAATCCCATCATACCCCTTGGTGATTTCTAGTTTCTAATATGTATTCAGAGGAAGAGACTTTCCAGGGTTATTTATATCAAGGTCCCATAGCCTTTGATGTTAGTTATTTAAACCTAAGCTAGCATAATAAATGCTGAACGAGGTGTTCACATGCTGCTTTTGTAAGTTTTATTTTTCTCTGTTAGAGACAATCAGTCACTATTGTCCTAATTAATAAATAGGCTTGAACTAGGTGTGGTGGCATACAGCTGTCATCCCAGCACAAGGAAAGCAGAGGTAGGAGGAATTCTGCAAGTCTGAGGCCAGCCTGGTATACATAGTGAGTTCTGAGTCAGCTAGGGCTACAGAATCTATCTCTAAATAATCAGGCTTAAATTCCTTACATATCTGCCTTCTCATCAACAGACTGAATAATCTTTATTATTTTTATGTGTACAACTTTTGCCTGCATGTGTGTAAGTGCACTAATGTTGTGCAGTGCCCAAGGAGGCCAGAAGAGGGTGTCATCCCCTGGAACTGAAGGTACAGATGGTTGTTCACCACAGTGCGGATGCTGTGCAAGAGCAGGGTCCTCTGAGCCATCTCTCCAGCCTCACACTAAATCTTTTTTAAAAACACTTATTTTTATTTTATGTGTATGAGTATATTGCTGTCTATGTAAGTGTACCTGAGTCATGTAAGGCCTGTGGTGATTAGAAGAAGGGATCAGATCCCCTGGAACTGGAGTTATGGATAGTTGTTAGCTGCCATGTGGGTGCTGGGAATTGAATCGATTAGGTTGACATGTACCTAATCATTTCTGACCCTTTCCAAGTTTACCATCAGTGATACAAATCCTTTCAGGAAAAGCAAGGAAAAATTGAAAAAGGAAAGTAGGGGTGGAGAATATAAAGGCGTTTCTCTTGATCCTGAGTAGCGGAGCCAAGACTGTGTTGTATCCCTGGGAGAGGGGACACATGGCCCCTCTGGGGACCTACTCACCATGCTCCCTCCAACAGAGGCCAGCGCCTCAGACTGGTTGAGGGGGAAGCCAGTGCCACAGAGCTGCAGGGAAAAGAGGTTGGGAATTTGTGTCTGCTTCACCAGCGAGTCAAAGAAGGGCTCCAGGGAGTCATCAGGCTGTGGCAGAAAGACAGAAGGAGTGAATCCTCACATAGGAGCCCTGACTGATAGCTTCCTGCCTAGACTAGGGGGCAAAGGGAAAACTTGGGGATGTTCCCACGGAAAGATCAACTTGTACTGTGATGTTGCAGAGAAAGAGACATTCCAATGCAATAGCAAAGTGCTAATGGGCCTACATGGCCACAGGACTTTTTCTCTATCCCAACCCATTTCACCCATCCATGCCTGACCTATTTTGGATTTAGGGGCCCTCTCTTAGCCCTAGGGATCTGAGAACGCAGAAACCATGGCCTACTGCTGTATTTATTACAGCTGCTCTCATGACAGTCCACCCATTCATAACTCTAAACAGATGTGCCCCCCCCTTGGTGTGTGTGTCTATGCACTCTGCTGCACATGTATGTATGTGTATGTGGAGGTCAGAGGATAATCTTGGACCTTGTTCCTAAGAAGCTGTCTACTCTAAAAACAGAAAACAAACTGTGTGTGCATGAGCAACACAGCATGGGTGTGGAAGTGAAAGAACAACTTACAGGAGTTGGTTCTCTCCTTCCACTATGTGGGTTCTGGGGATTAAACTCAGGTTGTCAGCCCTACCTTGTATTTTGAGATAGGGTCTCTCACTGGCCAGAAACTGGCCAAGTAGGCTAGGCTGGCTGGCCAGCAAGCCCCAGGGATCCACCTATTCTACCTTCCAGGGTGGAATTATGAGCATGCATTACCTACATTTTAAAAAACTGGCTGTGGTTCTGGTGGCCAAACTCAGGATCTCTTGCTTGCTAGGTAAGCACTGTACTCACTGATCCATCTCCCCAGCCCTGTGTTTTCCCCTTTCAGTCCATTCTTCCCCCTTCTTTCTCTTGACTCCTTCCCTGTGTGACATGCAGTGTGCAACATGCAGACAAAGTGTGTAGGGCCAAGCCTTGGTTCTCTCACCCTGGCGATCTCAGCATAGGCCAGCCCTAGGATGCCCTCCCAGTTGGAACCATTGATGAAGAACTTGTCTGATTCAGTGATGGCAGCGATGTTGGCACGCACGGTGACGTTGGGGCCATGAGGGATGCTCACCAGGTCGGTGCCCAGTTCCCCCTCCCACTTGCCCTGGGTATAGGGCACATACACACCCTTCCGGAGGTCTCGGTAGGTGCTGGACCTGTAGAAAGGGGGCAGAGATCTGTGTCTGCAGAACCACAAAATGGGTATCATTAAACCTATTCCCCAATGCCACCTTATCCCAGGGTACTCTAGAATCTGCTCAGCAGAATACCCCTAGACCCATCACCAGAATAGAATGTAAGGTGATCCTGTAGATAGATGAGGGGAGCTAATGCTGGGGCTTTCTCTCCTATCTCCATGGTTTATATTGCTGGATCTGGAGCTCAAGCCTGTGAAGAACAAGATAGGCTTTGTGCATTGTGCCTATTGCTGCCGTAAGGACAGTTATTGGACATCTCCCCCATCCGAGCATGCTCCCTGAGAAAAGGAGCCATTGACTCTCTTGCTGCCTTGGGGCCCAGTGGTACCATCTGAGTGGTGGAGCAAGTGCCAAACAGGGTGACTCTGGAAGCTCTGTAATAAGTTCTAGGGAAGAGATTTGAACCAGCATCTCAGCTGAGCAGGCAGGTCTTGGAACCAGAAGATGAAGCACACTCATTGCTGTGGGACTCCCTCACCTGTGTTTCAATCAGGGCTCGGTAGTGATGGGACTGGTATGAAGACCTGAAATGGATGTCCTTTCATTGATTCTACCCACATTCCCCTCTTAGGGAAAAGGGAAACAGAAAGGTGGTTTGTACCTTCCTACAAGTCCAAGGTTAGGATGTAAGCCTCTACTGTACAGTCTATACCTTCCTCTTATCTACAGAGATATCTCAAGCATATCTTCTGATGTCCTCATTTATGTTGATGGACCTTCTAGATTATCCCTCATCTATTTTACCTAAAAACTCACTCCAGCCCTCTCTTCCACCACCAACCTGGTTCCACTCAAGGTAGTGCCAAAGGAGACAGTTTAGCTTTCATTCTTTATGGGGCTAGGCAGTGAGGGTTATAAAAAAAAATCCTTCACATTTTTAGGGGCTTTTTTAAATTAAAAAAATATTTGGCAGCACTCAGGAGGCAGAGGCAGATGGATCTCAATGAGATCGAGGACAGCCCAGTGGTCTACATAGTGAGTTCTAGGCCAGCTGGGGGTACAGGGAAACCTTGTCTCAAAAAAACAAAACAAAGCTGGGGGTGGTGGCACACACCTTTAATTCCAGCATTCAGTAGGCAGAGACAGGCAGATCTCTATGCGTTCAAGGCCATTCTGGTCTATATAGTGAGTTCCAGGTCAGCTGGGGCTACAGGGAGACCCTGTCTCAGAACAGAAAAAAACAAAACAAGGTTTTTGGCTGTGTATGTGGTATATAAGTATGTTGTGTGTACAAATGTGCATTTAGAGGCCAGAGGATATTAAGTGTCTTCCTCTACCACTCTCCACATTGTTTTTTAAGACAGTCTCTCATTGAAGCTGAAGTTTGCAGTTTTGGCTAGCTAGCTAGTAAGCTCTTAGAATCTGCCTATCCCCATTCTGCAAAACTGGGGTTACTGAAAGCAACCCTGCCCAGCTTTATACAAGTGGTAGGGATTTGAACTCAGGTCCTCTTGCTTTCACAGAAAGAGGTCTTATTGAGTCATCTCTCTAGCCCCCTCCCCCATTTTTAAAGAAAATATTTTTATTATATATGTATGAGTGTTTTGCCTGCATGTATGTAAGCACACCCATGTTGGACAAACCCTGCAGAGGTCAGAAGCTACAGACAGTTGTTAGCTGCCATGTAAGTGCTGGGAATCGAACCCAGGTCCTTTGCAAGAGAAGCCTTAACTGTTGAGCCATCTCTCTATCCTACTTTTGGGTTTTTGAGAGTCTTGTTAAAACCCATACTTGCCTTGAAGTCACAGAAGCCTCCTGCCTCCATCCCCAAGTGCTGGGATTACAGGTGTGCTCTACCATGCCCAGCTCCATCACATGTATAAACTATGCAGAGCCACCCAGAGTGGCCCCTGGGTGAGAACATAGTGAAGAGAGCTAAGCACGGTGGCGTGTTTTATTTAAAAAAAACTGTACACCACTGAAAATGTGGGTGATGCCCCCCTTGCCTCTCCATGTAGAGAATGAGATGGCATCTATTGGTTCTGGGAGCTGTGGGGGCTACTTGCTCCCCTTTAGTCTTCCATGGGAAGCCCCATGGAAGCACTTCCTGGCAGTCCCTCAACTCACCCTTTCCCACACTATGCTACTTTAAGTTTTCCTCCTGGCCATTGTTGCCTTCTTTTCCTTTCCTTTCCCCAGTAGGAAGAAAGGCTCTTAGGGTTTGTTCTTGCATCCTCCCACTCCTTGGAATAGCCCCTGCCCCCCAGTTCTCCCCAGGACTTACAGCTGCCTCTGGTAGTATCGATGCAGGAAAGGATGGGGGGCAGCTCCCACTGCAAAGTTACTACTGCCTGTGTCCACCAGGATGTTGAGCTGTCAGAGAAAGGGGAGAGAAAAGACATTGCAGATAGGTGGCTCTGGGCTCACTGGCTTGTAGTTCCTTACAGTGTCCTACTGGAACTTTCCATAGTAAAAATCAGTCAGGGTGATACTTACTAGGACTAGGACCACAGACAAAACTTGGGGGCTCCTATGGCATCTCTAGCCTCAGGAACTTTATGCTTATTTCTGTCTGTATAATGTTAGCCTTTTCTATGCCATCCCAGCTACACCATGTATCCCATTCCTCTCTGTCATCTAATAACCCCTGCTGTAGCTGATCCATCTTCAGCACCTGTCCTTCCCCTCTGCTAGTTTTCCCAGAAGGGAGCTTGGGCCATCCTTTCTAGCTCTGAGAGGAACTATTCTAGGACCTGGTACTGGCAAGTAGAGCTGTGTGAGTCAGGATGACACATTGGTTCCCAGGTGTGTGTGTACGGCTCCCCTTCTGTCTGAGTTACTTAGATACATGTGTACCACTGTGAGAAATAATGGAGAGCCAAGAATCCTGTACAACATCCTAGTGAAAGCCCATGTTGTCAGGCCCTAGTTTTGGCTAAGTGCATATAGACAGGTGTCTTCTTGGAGTTCCTTGTTAAGCAGCTCCTAGCATCTCTTCTATCGTGTTTCTAACTCCTCCTCGAGTGTGAGTCCTTCTAGTGAAATTAGTAATTTTTTTTTTCTCTCTTGAAAGAGGTTGGAACAATTCTCCCTCCCTCAAAGTGTAAAAACCAAAGAGAACGTTTGAAATTCATGGAAAACCCAAATAAACTCTGTATCTTCATTGGCTTTTAGTTACTTGAGTTAATGAGTCACTCATTTCAGATAGCCCTCTGCCAGCTTCACCCATACATCAGGTTACTTGGTAAGGATTGTTTAGGTTGTTTTTTAGTGAATTGAGGATACCCTTCTCTAGCTCAAACTAGATGAAGTCACTGACTCCTTCATTTGGACCTGTATGAGTGTCCAGTGAGTGATCTTTGATCTTTTAATGTCAGCATCAAAAATCCTACCTACAGCTGGGCATGGTGGCACATGCCTTTAATTCCAGCACTCCTGAGGTAAAGGCAGGTGGATCTCCGTGAGCTCAAGGCCAGCCTGGTCTATATAGTGAGAACCGGTCTCAAAGAAAAGTGGGTGAGGGACTGGAGAAATGGTTCAGTGGTTCAGACCATTGATTGCTCTTGCAGAGGACACAGTTTGGTTCCTAACACCCACATGACTGCTCACAACTGCCTGTAACTTTAGCTCCAGGGGACCTGATGCCCACTTCTGGCCTCCACTGGCATTGCACTCATGTACACACACCTATACACACAGACACAGATAGACACATACACACACAAATTTTTTAAAACTCCTGCCCACAGATGCTAATGCCACTATTTTCTGAACATGAGGAGTCGTGAAGTTTGACTATGCATGTGTAGACCACCTATTTCTTCACCTTTACTCACCTCCATCACTTTTCACCATGTCTTGTGTCTCATGGTGACATAATGTCCAAGAAGAGCAACTTAAGAGGACGGGCTTATTTTTAGTTCACAGTTTCTTTTCTGTTGCATTTTTGAAGCAGGATGTCCTATAGCCCAGGTTGGCTCTTGAACTGACTATGTAGTTGAGGATGACTTGGAACTTCTGGTCCTCCTGTCTCTACCTCCAGAGTGCTGAGATTATAGGTATTCACTACCATGCTCAGCTTGGTTTGGGGTTTCAGATACTTCATTCTATGCTCACTTGGCCACACTGCCTTGGGCTGTGCCAGCACAGTACATCACATAAAAAGCATATGACAAGAGATCTGTTCACCTCATAGCAGCCAAGAAGCAAAAGAGGAAGGAGCCAGGGTCCCATTAGCTCTTCCTAGGGTGAACCCCCAGTTACCTAGTTCCTCCTGCTAGCTCCAAGCTGTTAACACATGAGCCTTTGGGGGAAGTTTAGATGCAAACTCTAGGAACCTAGCTTCCTCACCCCATAAGTACCCCAAAGCTCTATCCTCAGGGAGGCAGATTTGAGGCTGGGGGTTCCCCATCCTCCTGTTTAGCCACCTCACAAATTCTCTTTTGTAAAACTCACTGCAGTGATTGGATGGCTGCTGTGCAGAGTGCACTCTGATGGCCTGACCCTCCCTCAGCCACACCAGTCCATTGTTTGTGTGTCTATCCTTATGAGCAGAGAGAAGAAGGACCCTGTCCTCAGAGAAAATGGGCAGTCTGTCAGTGGAATCTCTCTGACTTACCATGCCTATCACCTCAGCTAGCCCCTGTCCTTGGGGCCTTAATTTCCATGTCCTCTCAGAGAAGTCAGCAGAGCTCTGACCTTGTCACCTTGAGCAGGTCACTATACTGCCCTGTCTGCTAGATCCTCTCCCAGCTACTCCTGGCTCAGCAGTGCCTGTGTGGCAGAGCTGACTGCCCAATGAAGCTTAGGTTTCTGACCACCCCAAAGATTTCTCTGCACTGTTGGCTGGCCCTCTGACCCTGCCTTTGGCTTCCTCCCCAGCCTCACATGCCTGGCTGGGTTCCCATTTCTCTCCCTGCCCCCTTCTTTCCACCTCTACTCCTGTCCCTCTCCCTGGTCTCTGGGCAGCCACCAGCTCCAGCTGCTGCACTTTCAGAGAAAATCAATAGCTTTGAGAGGCTCTGCAGGTCAAATTTCAAAACTGAGTTAATGATTAAAAGGCTTCTTCACTCCCTTCCTCAGGAACCCCTTCTCTATCTTGGGGCTTAGCCCCTTGCACCAGGGGTTGGCCTCATATGACAGGGCTCTCTGCTCTCACTGGACCCTGCAGGAAGAGGGTTTCTCAGACACAGTCCCCAAAGCTTTGCTATGCAAGAGAGGGACCACCTGGAAAGTGTACACCTGGCCAGTCCTAGCAGATAGGGCAGCTTCTTTACAGTGGAATAGAGCTTTTATCTGGGCAACCTGCTGCCCCAGGCCCTTCCCTGTCTCCCTCTCTCTACACAAGGTACCGGGTGCTCCTGTTGCTTTCCAGTCCCAGCTTTACTCTTTCCTTTGAGGACGATCTCTCTCTTCCAGCCAGCCAGGGCTAAGTCCAAGAAAGAAAAACTTAAGTCACTCCAGTCCCCGTGCCTGCCCCTATACCAGAGCCTCAGACTCCTGCTGCTCTCTGCTTCTCTGTCTCCACAACAAAACAGGAAGCCAAAAGAAACAGTGGCGCTTCCCTCCACAGCTGTGTCTGGCTATTTATCTTTTGTATGTGGTCCTGATGCTAAGAAGTGATTTCTGGTCCTTTCAAGGTTTCTTTTTCTTTTTTTAATTAATTAATTAATTAACTAATTAATTTTATGCATATGACTGTTTAAACTGCATGTAAGTATACCACATGTGTATAGTATCCTGCCATGTGGGTGCTAGGAATCAAACCCAGGTTCTCTGAAAGATCAGCAAGGGCTCTTAACCACTGAGCCATCTCCCCAGCCCCATCTTTCAATGTTTCTAACTGACTTCCATGGGCAGCTCCTGGCAGACTCTCCCTTTCAGCTTGGTACAGGGCCTAAGGTAAAGGAGCTGAGCCACCCCATGCTCTCGTTACCAAACAGGCAGGTAATGAAGAAATAGCTGTGGAAGCCTCCTCTCCTGTTTCCCAGTCCCAGGGCCCACTAGATTCTCCCACAGCCCATGATACCAGTATGGGAGGTGCCCCAGCTATTCCTGTCTCAGCTTCCAGGTCCCTCCTCCTGGCTCAGGCCCCAGCTTCCACCTGGGCAGGGGAACCAATTCCATCCTCCTTTGCCAGGCCATGTACTCTCCCCCTGCCCATCTCAACATTACAGAATCTGGATTTTTCCCATTGGCCTTTACAAATGCTGAGTCTCTTCATTAAAAAAAAAAAACAGAAATCTTCCTCAATCTCACACCCGCCTCCAGCTACCCTCTCTTCACAACCTAAGCTTTCAGCCAAGCTGTCTTCATTTCTTCACCTCCCACTCACTCACTCAATCCATTCTAAAACGGGGTTTGCCTTGATCCCGCCACTATCAAGCAGCCCTTACTACAGTTACTGATGATTTCACAGCACCAGATATAAGAGGGATCTTCCACATCAGTCCTCATCTCACCTCTCTGATCCTTTCCTGCCTCCTGCAAAGCTCACCCCCCCCCACCAGCTTGGCTCTGGCTGCTTCTTTCCCAGTACCCTTTCCTGTAAGCACCTTACCTGGAGCACCAAGACCCTAAGCTTCCAAGGTCCCTTTGAGCTACACATACACATCTGGAGCCACCTCCAAGCTGGGATGTCCAAAGCCTACCTCACCTGTTCCTGCCTACCTGTTATCTTCAGTGTTCTTCCTATCAGTAAATGATGTCTCTGTCCAATCTGTTCTGTAAGCAACTTCAGAGACAACACCTTCACATTTCTCTTCAGTGCATCCACTAATCCTGTCCAGTTGCCCTCCTTCAAAGCATTTGCATGACTCCATTTCTTCCCATTTCCTATGCCATCCCTTGACCCAGCTAGCAACATCTCACCCTGGGATATTACAAGGGCATCTTAACCTCAACTGGGTTGGCATATCTGCCCTTGACTTCTCTACTTCTGTTTTCTGTACAGCAGTGGAGTATCTTATCTATCTTAGCTATCTATCCTATCTTTCTTTTCTTCCTAAGATTTATCGTGTGTGTGTGTGTGTGTGTGTGTGTGTGTGTGTGTGTGTGTGTGCAGGTGCCAGTGGAGGCCAGAAGAAGGTGTTGGATCTTCTGTAGCTGGAGCTATAGACAGTTGTGAGCCACTAGACATGGGTGCTGGGAACTGAACATGGATCCTCCGGAAGAGCAAGTGCTCTTAACAGCTGAGTCCTATCTCTAGCTCCCAGGGTGACCTTTTCTAATTGACTTTTACTTAGGTTATGCTCCTAAGCCAACCAGTTCCTCCGGCTATTGAAATGAAAACTAGAAGCTTGTATACTTCCTTCAGGGCATTTCCCCCTCTGGCCTTGCCTGCACACTCAGCCTCTGGCAAGCACCACCCCCCT